ATTATTAAATTTAAAACCTGGCTATATAAGATGAAGGCAGCTTTAACGAGATGAAAAGGCTTAACTGGAGTCCAATTAAATTCCGTATTACCTGTTTACGCAGCCTGCTTAAGTCCTGACCCGCACGCTGGTTTCTTCTTTAGGCTCCAAAGCCTGTGCTCTAGGCAAAAAAATAAAATCAAAGGAGACAGATAGATACCAGATCACCAGCATGGCCTGAGCACCCCCGCGTGCTCCTACCAGAGGCAGCTGCCCTCAAGCCTTGTGCTGCTCCCACAGTGGCTGCAAGGTGTGAGATGCAGCCAAAATCCTCTGGTCCACTCTTCTGGAGAGGAAAGAGGGCAAAAACAGCTGGAGCTCAAAAAGGAAATACCCAGCCATCCTTAGTTTGGTTTTAAGATACTTTTGCTCTTCCCATCTCACTGCTGGGTTGATGTGGGCCATGAAGATACTTTTGCTCTCCCCATCTCACTGCTGGGTTGATGTGGGCAGTGCCTGGCCAAGCAGCCAGTGCTGGTGGTGCTTCTCACAAGTGGAGCATCCTTTCTTCTCCCTTGCACCACTCTTGGCATGTTATTTTTATTAAAAATAAGTGTTTGGTGAAAGACAGCATGGGATGCTGGGGCAAGCTGCTCACCTGGAGTGTGTGGTGGGGACACCAGCTTGCATTTAATGGCAGAGTTACTACCACCAGTTGGAACCTGTTTTTCATAGATGGTTCATAGGAACCACTGCCGGTGTTGGTGAATCATGGCAGGTTTGGATGGGGGGTGAGCTGGGGCTTGGCTGAGGCTTGGCTGTCATAATGGTGACACTGAGAGCCTTGCAGGAAGGGGTGAAGTGCCTTAGCCCACCTTCAGGCTGCTCTTCAAGGTCCACAAATTGGGGGGGATGAAGAGGAAGAATCCCTTGCAGGAGCCCCATGTGTGGACAACACATCCAGAAATCTCCTTGGCTTCCCAAGCCCCTTCTTGTAGGGTGCTGCCTTTTATTACCCGTTTACTTGGGAGCTGGGAACAAACAGGTTCTGGCAGTGAGGGTGATTTCACTCCACCTGCTCTGGTTTCATAACTGAGCCCCCAAACCCCGTTGGGCCCTCGCTGGTGCCTCCCGGCCGCGCTGAGGCCTAGTGCGCAGGGCGGGGGGCAGGAAACGGCTCGCCGCACCCTGCACGCTGCAAACCCTCCCGCCCAGCACAGACCTCAGCCCTGCTGTAAAGAAAGTAAATAAATAAAAGCACTGGACCGCAGCTCCTCCCAGGGCTGGGGGACAGCGGAGGTGAGCCGTGCTCCCAGCCTGGGAAAACAGATTGGGGTGACATCAAAGTGTGGTGGGGATGCGCCAGCGGCTGTGGGGCAGCCACGCCGCTGCTTCTTGCCTGCTGCTCTTCAGCTCAGTTAATACAGCTGAATAACCTGGTTTCTCCTGGAGGATTAGGTTAAGAAAACAAGATGGTTTTAATAGCCCTTTTACATCCTGCGTAGATTGTAGCTGAAGACCCTAACCAGCTTTGTAGCACAGCCAGACAGCACATCTTCCCCTTTTTTCCCTGTTTTCCATAACCTGATGCCAGTGGTCCTGCGCAAGTGGGCTCCTATCGATAGTTCAAGTGCCCAGCTCCTGGCTGTGCTGTTTTGTCCGATTTCCATTGCCTCCTGACCTCCATCCTTCTTTATTTGCAAAGCTATACTTGCAGGCAGTGGTAATAAATCAATTAATGACTCTGATGAATCGTTTAATGGCTGACAAAATAACACTACAGTCAACAGCTTGGATCTCTACAGCAGTACCAGAAGATGCTGGTTGACTCAGGGTAGGGAGACGAAACAGAGACTGTTAGCTCAATTAGTGCAATTAGTGTGCGATTTAAAGGCTTAGACGGCATCTGCTGGCGTACCAGGCCGGTGTGTTAACTGAGAGCTTCGCTTTGGAAGCGAAACACGGTGATCCAGATTGTCATCATTCCACTGGCTTCCACCAAAAAAAAGAGGGAAAAATACCGACGTGTGTGGCAGGGAATTAAAAATACATATGTGTGTTTGTGTATATAGCTGTGCATGTGCGCCCCAGGAATGCATATATATATTGATTTCCAACATGGGGAAAATTTGCCATCTTACAAAAGGCAAATAAGCCGGCGTGCCAGCATTGCCAGAGAAGTCCTGGCTTATTTCTGGCAGTGGTTTCCGTGTGTTTCAGTGGAAGGAAATTCAGGGTGTCACGTGCCAATGGTGACCTTTGTGTGGCTGATGTGCATCTAGTTCAGTTCCAGTTTGGATGTGGTGGCACAGTAGTTCCATGCCCATTTTCTGCCAGCTTCCGTGGCAACTGCACATTGTCTGTAACTTCACCAGGGAGGTTCAATGGGTTTTAGATGTTCACCTAAGGAAAGAGCTTTGGAAAGCAAACTGCAACCAAGAGTCCCTAAAAAGAGATTCTGGAACAAAATGTAGAAAATAAACCATGTGGGAGGAACTGTGTGGCCAAAAAAGCCCTGGAAATGGGTGCTGTAAAGCCCTTGGGTTTGTGTGCTGACCCTTAGGGTTTGGGTGCTCACCCTTAAGGTTTGGAAAAGTTGTTCCTGCTGTCTTTTTTTGCCTTTTTTTCTTTCATTTCTGGCATGCCCAAGTGTTTTACAGAGCTGCTCCAGCCACAGCTGCGCTCCCATCGCTTCACCAGGGCTAAAGGTGCCTCAGTGTTTACCTTAGCAGCGGTGATGGGGAGGGGAATAAAAAAAGAAATAAAATGTCACTTCGCAGCCTTGTAAATCATTCATCAAGGGCTGACCAATTTGGCTCTCATCCTACAATATGCTCAGGGTACTTGCGGGTTTTTAATTACCAAGTTCTGCCAAGCGCCACATGTGCGAGGAACTTTAAATCCCCGTTTACGCCGCAAAGGCATAGGTGAGGTTTCAGGGTGTTTAACACGGAAAAATACTCTGTGGTTTTGTGGGAAAATGGGCATTTGCTTCAAGATTTTCTTTGGCTCCTCTGCCCTTCTCCCTCTGCTCCCTGTTGCAGAGGGGAGGAGAAGAGCAGCGTCCTTTTCCCCCCAGATCCCCAAATCCATGTTCCTCCTCACTTCCCACCACTTCGGGATCCATTTCGCTTTGGGGAGATTCCCCAAGCAAAGGATTATAGTGTGCTGGAAATCTCTTGAAACCATAAAATATCACCTTGGCAGCTTTATTGCAGCGCTTGCCGCCTTGGGAGAGAAGCGTTTTGCGTGATAGAGGGTTTAATAAAGGAAATTCCAAATGGGCTCGCTGCAGTTTGGGGCTCAGTCTTATATATTTTTGCATTAAGAACCGTCATCTGCTTTGCAGAGAAACTGCAATATGTTCATGGCCTTGGATTAAGATTTGGTTTTACTTTTATAGCTGACCCACTTGGGGGGATGGAGGGAGGGGGAGAAGTGGGTTCACTCCCTCTCCCATCTATTTTTGCTGCCGTCTGATGTATAAAAAGAGCCTGGAATGGGCAGGCTTATTTTTCCTGCCAGGACTTTTTTTTTTTTTTTTTTTATTAACTGTAAAAACACTCAGATCTGGCCTTTGCTGCTGGTGGGGGGAAGGCTGTTCAGGATGCCTTGTTCAGGGGCAGGGGAGGGAGCGTGCCGTGGGGTGTGCCTGGGGGTGCAGGACCCTGTAGCCTCAGGGGGAATTGGTTGTTTCATGAAAGGAGGCTCTTAACTGGGGATTCAGCCTCCACTGTTGTCTGTGACACTTGCAGCTCTGAGATGCTGGGGTAGGAAAACCAGCCTCTCGTCCAGAGTGGTCCTGGCCTTCATCCCACATCCTGCACGCCAGCTCCTGCTGGAGAGAAGGGTGAGGGGCACGAGGGATGCCCTGGGAAGGCACCAGGCAGTGATTAGTCTGGTGTGCTCCCCTGCCTCTGCAAGGCTTTCTGGTCAGGAATAGCAGGATTGCCATTGACCAAACATGGGGATCCCATCTTGGCAATCCTTAGTCCTTAGTGATAATCCTTAATTTTGCAGGCTGCCCTGACAGCCTGGCTTCCCCCTGTGCTCACATCTTGTGGTTGTTGCTGCATTGGAGCCGGGGCTGGCTCAGCTGCAGTTGGGACGTGGGGTTTGTTGGGTGAAACCAAGCCTGAGCAGGCTCACATGTACCCCATCTGCTCATGGGATTTCCTCAGTGGAAAGTTTTTCCACTATGGTTTTAGGTGGGTACATCCATCATAAAAATTGGTGGAGGGAGTAGTTCAGTGATCCAAATCCAGTTAACACCACTGGGGTGCCTTTGTAACTGCCCTGTAACTGGAATGGGGTCACTTGGTGTTGGGCAAACTGGGATGCACTTGGATAGCACAGTACTGCTTCTGATCTCACAGGGATGTGTGACCAGCAGTGACTTTTAGAGAAAGATCTTTTTCTTATCTTTTCCTTCAGAGTAGGAGCTTCCTATCACACTGGTGCTTTCCCAGAAGTGAATAAATGCAAATAGGGATGCTGAGAGGAGTGAGTGGGGTGGCCAGGTACCCCGTGTCTGTCCCTGTCCCTCCTTTTTGGAGCTGGTGGCTCATTCTAGGGAGGCACGAGGGGGAATGTGAATCCACAGGTTGAATGCAATGAATTTGGAAATTAATAATAAAGCCTTGGCATGCTGGTGAGGTCAGGGAAGCATAATTTTCAAAGGACAGGGCTAACTAAACCAGCGAGCATGGTGGGGAGGTGGGAGGAGAAGCATTTTAAAGCTTTCAAACAGCTTCTGCCTAAAATTACACTTGGTGGATTAACAAGACTCAGTGCCTGGGTAAATGAACAAACAAACCCCAGAATCATCTCCAGGTTCTGTGTGGCCATCTCCTCGGTGGGTGAGTCACAGAGGCCGGTGTCCCTCCAGCTGTCAGCATCCTGCTCAGGGCTCCGGGGACACCAGGCAGATGGACTCAGTGGGATGTGGCAGGAGAGGTGGCATTTCTAACGTGCTTTTGTCATAACTCTGACCATGTTTGCCCTGGTTTTGTTCCCCGCAGAGCGCAGCTGCTGCCCCGAGTCCCGTGCTTGGAAACATTCCCCCGAATGACGGGATGCCCGGGGGCCCCATCCCGCCCGGGTTCTTCCAGGTAGGCTGTGCCTCCTCCTGCTGCTCCCTCCCCTCCAACCACGCACGTGTTTGCTTTTGCTCTGGGTGTCAGCGCTGTCCTGCCTGTGTTTTGTTGTTTTTTTTTCCCCCAAGAGGATGCTAGGGAAGCAGCATGCCTGCACAGCTGACCTGTCTAGGAATAACTTGTGTTCTGCTGTCCTTCCACGTTTGCTTTCTATCTTTTGTGGCCTTAAAGCAAATTCCTTTCTTGCTCGAAGAGGTTACTGTGTATTTACAACCAATGTTTTTTTTCCAAAGCTGCTTGGTTTGTGTTTGGGTTGGGATTGTATTTGTTCTCCAGTCCTAACAGACGTGTGTAATTGAAAACATTCTGGATTTTGATTCCTGAAACTTTTTCCCCCTCCTCTGGTTAACCACTTGATTTTTTCCAAATGCAATCACTGAATGCATTAACAAACCCTGGCTGCGGCTGCAGGCGGGAGTGGGCTCCAGCCAAATCCCTGAATGCCGTGGAGGCACCTTGTAAGCAAATACCCAGCAAAGTCCCCAAAGTCCCCTTGCTCCTTCCTTATCCACAACAAGCTCTGGCAGAGGAGGGGGTAACATGTTTGGAGTGGTGCTGACAGACAGGGTATCAACAAGCACAAAGAAAAGGAGTTTTCAAACCTTGAACCTTGAGGGTTTTTCCTCAAGGAATCTCTTTGCCCGGAGTGAGCTGCACTGGTTTGCAGCAACATAAGCTTTCGGTGCTTTAAAGCCCTCCTGCTTGAGGATGAAACACTTGTTCATGTAAAAAATGGGATAAGAGTTGAAAGGAGTATTTGTTTTGGCAAGCTGGGCTTTTTTTAATCTGGGCTTGTGATTTGTATATGGGAGAACTTCTCGGGCAGTAGACAGGCGAGCTCGATAAGGAGCTTGTGATTTATTGTGGCGATATCTGAGCCCGATATCGACAATTACATTTGTGTGGGAAGGGGGAAGGAGGGTCCTGTCCTTTTTTTTTTGTTTTTGAGAGAGAAAGAGAAAGAGAGATCCCATTTCCTGAACATGCTTCTGACAAAGTAAGAATATCTGATATTGATGGGGAACCCTAAAACAGGCGAGCCTTGCAGCAGCACTCGGGGCCGGGGGTGAAGCCAACGGCGGAGATGCGATCTCGCAGGTCAGAGCTGCTGCCAGCAATCCCAGTGCCAAGCTGCTGCTTCCAACAAATGTCTCTCCAAAACGTCCTGATCTCGCCCCGCGGTGAAGCTGAGTGTCCTCTGGGGCTTCTGCTTCACGCCGAGCTGCGAGGGCTGCAAAGCTGGCAGGAATTTAGGGCAAGGCATCGAGAGGATGGGTTGGCTTTCCCAGAGTGGGAATGGTGAGGGAGAGGAGTCACATCTCTCCAGACTTTTGCTGTTCGTGCTGCCGTCTCGACTCTTCCTGTTGACAGCCTCCAAGCTGTCCCCCCTTCTTTCCTTTCTGCCCTCCTGTAGCACTTTTGCACTGAGGGTCTGATTCAGGAGCAAACAGCCCATCTTAGCTCCCTGCCTCCCATGCAGCTGCCACAGGAGCCACTTGGGTAGGGGGTGGTTAAGAATCAGGAGTGGATCCTGAAACCCCAGACAATGTAATAACACCAGGATAGGTTATGCTGCCCATCCCCAGCACTGCCAGAGGGAAGAGAGGAAGGGTGCTGGTGCATATGGCTCACATGTGACATCTCAAGAGCCTGCCTTTCCTGAAAGCCCTCCAACATCTGGTTTCTCCTCCCAGCCCTCGGGATGGAAAGCAGAAGAAAAATCCCACCTTTTAACACAGTCTGAACATCGCCTCCATGAAAGGCTGTCTGATTTATTGCGGGTGCTGGGGCTCATTCCAGCTTCAGAGATGCTGGAGAGCCGTTCTTGCAGAGATGGGCTGGAGGCTCAGTTTGAGCCAGTCACAGCTTGGGGGTAATTTCCTATCTGTAGGAGATTAAAGTGCCTAAATTCAGAGGGCAAAAACAAAAAGGTCACAGAAAATAGAAAGGACTTCTCCCCAACCCTTGGTATGCCAGCCCCGGGAGTGAGGGAGGTGGTGCCACCTCAGCCAGTGCCATCCTCATGCCAGGAGAGGGCTCAGGGGTTTTCAGCATCTTGCTCTTCTGCACTAGGGACCTGCAAGGGATATCCCCAAGGGCAGCAGGCATGGCGTGGGCAGATAGTTTTTGAGAGGATTTAGAGAGCCTGATCATGTCCAGGCATGGTGGGGAGTCACACAGGGAGCTGAGGAATGAGTCACCAGCAAAACTCAGGTAGCAGAAACTTTGCAATGCATGAACCCCTCCCAGCCCTGCATGTGAAGATGTCCACCACAGGCAAAGGGAAAACATTGATGTGGACCATTCCTGCGACTCTGTAGCCCAAACACATGTGTGTGAGCTTGGAGGAGGAGTGCTCCAGGAAAGGGAGAAGCAAGGAGGACTCCAGGCTGCAGCCCCATCCATAACCACTGCCTTGCAGTGAGATTCCCTTCCCAGTGCCAGGGCTCAGCAGTGCCCTTCAGGTCAGGGGCCAAGGGAAGTGCAGCCTGCAGAATCTCCCAAAATAATGGGAGAGGCAGGCCCATGGCACTCCTGGGTTGCTGGGGCATTTCATGGTGCCAGCCAACGGCACAGCATCGGCTGCGCTCCGGACAAAAGGTTGGCTGGGTTGACAGCCAGCATGGGTAGATGCTTTTATTTAAATCTCTCTCTTTGTCCCGTTGAGATGAGCAAACAAACCCTCTGCTCGTCCTCCTAAAGGTCATCAGAGGCGTTCCTGCTTTTGTTTTGAAAGCTGGATTGATGCCGGGGTGCAGATCCCTCGCAAGAGGGATGGGGGGATGCCAGGGAAATACAGGAAGGAAAACAAAAAATTGAAAGCAATTAATGCCACACCTTTACACCACTAAACAACCGGGGGGGAGGCCGAGTCAGCAGCCCCCCCAGGCATGGCTGCTGTCCCCAGGCAGAGTGCCTGTACCCCGCGCTGATGAAATGGAAAGTTGACCATAAATCAATGTCGGCGCTGCGTTAGCTATGCATCAGCGGCTCGGCGCCGAGATGCACCAAAACAAAGCACCGGCTGCTCCGTGTTCCCACACTGCCCCCTAATGCAGACAGACCTCGGGAGCTGGGGAGCACGGGGGCTACAGAGCCCGGGGGGCTCCCCCCACACATCCCCTGCCCTCCTCAGCTCTGCTCCCCACGTCCTGGAGACTTCCCCCTCTGGGTGAGGTAGCCTGTGGCATGAGGATGGTGAAGCCAGGGACAATAGGAAGGGTCCATGTTGTCCTGCTCCCTCCTTGGATGCCACCATTTTCCCCCTGCTGTCCTGATGTCTCAGTGGGATTTCCTACTGCTCATCGGGTGCCGCCAGCTCCGGCCAGCCACTTCCATAAAACCAGGCTGCTCTTCCCAAAATCCCGGGATAGAACTTGGTACCAGCCTGCACTAGGCAGGGTTTGAGGGAAGGTAGCCTACAAACTGGAGGAAAGGAAAAGCAAGCATCAGAGAAAGTTTTTTTTCTGGAAGTTTAGTAGGATGCCCGAGGCTTTTGTACCGAGCGTCTGGAGCATATGGTGGGATTTGCAGTCAACTTTTTCTCGGGTGCTCCAGCCAGATGGAGGTGACTGTTCTTGGCTCTGGCTGACACGGGTTTGTTTCCTGAAGAGCTTGTGTTAAACATATTCCTTAAAACCAGGCTTGTGCAGTTGGGAGCCCCAGCTGCAGGCGAGGCAGAGCTCCTGCCCACGGCTGCCTTTCTGTGTCTGCGGGGGGAGCTTGGCCCGCCTCGCCTCGCCTCGCCTCGCCTTGCTGCCTTGCCTTGCCTTGCCTTGCCTAACCTCGCCGTGCTTTGCCTTGCCTTGCTTTGCCTTGCCTTGCCTTGTCTAACCTCTCCTGGCCTCACTTGTCTCGGGAAGGTCCTCACCCAGCAGCACAGGCTGGAAGTCAACCGGGGTCTTTCTCTTTGAGGGCAACCAGAGCATCTCTCCTAAAGGGCTCCTTCAGAGATAGCTCTCTTTTTTTTTCCTCGTCAACTTGCAAAACATCTCTCTCCTTCAGTAGAAATAAATCTCCTCTCCAATAAACCCAGGCATGGCTTTAATTAATACCCATCTAATTTATTTTAGTGTTTTCTAACGTCAAAACTGGCAGGCAGGGGCAGGTATTTTAAACACAAGATGCCTCCCTATTGCTAACTCGAAACCATTGGTGTCTCGTGGCAGTGATGCTTTGCCTTCTCGTACCATCCTGCCTTGTTCTGCCACCCCCAGAGGTGCTTGAAAATGTTTTTAAATAGCAAAACTCCCCCGTTAGCTGAAAGTATGTAGCCCATAAAACACGATCCATTTGTGGTGAATTACGCTGGAAACATAAATTGACACACACAGAGCTATGATCGCTCGTGCCATTTTCCATCTTTAATATTTTACAAGAAGTTTGAGGAGTCGAGCTCATGAAAGACAGAGTGGAAATAACCTGATCTCCTGGAAACTCCCTGTAAGAAGCAGCTGTGGCAGCAAACTTCGGCTGTCCGGCAGGCCAGGTTGGCTTTTAAAGTCCCTGGAGTGCAGAGGGGAGAAAGAAACGAAGCCGAGAGGAGGTTGGGGCACTGACGGCTGTTGGAAACAGTTTCCTCTAACACCATTTTAGCTGTTGAGGTTCTTTTTTGGGGTTTTTTGAGGCAGCTACAGGAAGGTGAAGAATAACCCCAACACAAAGAGTGTCCAGTTTTGGGGGGAAAAGGAAAAATTTGAGAGATTATGGGGTTTCTGTGGCTGGGGAGAGTGCTGGAGACGAGAGTGAAGCAGCTGCAGAGCAGGTCCTGCTCCCCCAGCATGGCGTGTCAGAAGGAGCTGTGCCGCAGGGCCGGATGGAGGGATGTGGAGGAAGCAGGACAGCATGTGTTCAGCCTCCTCCTTTAACAGGAGTAGTTAATAACTGCTAAACACACGTTTTTTTAAGAAAAAAGGGATGTTCTGTTGGTTGGAGCCCACATGTTGTCTCTGCAAAACACTTGTCCCAAGCGCCGTGATCCGTGGGGATCATCTCCTGCTCCCTCTGCAGCGAGGCAATCCTGTGCAAAAACCCAACCACTCCAGCAGGCATTCCCAGCCCTGCACGGGTCCCAGCCCTGAAACATCTGCAAGTATTTATGGAGATAACAGCGTGCAGAGGGACTGACTGCCTTTCTGGCAGAGCAGGGCAGCCCTGCCGAGGGGGCCGTGGCGGCCGCAGCTTGGAGCGAACATTTTGGGTGCTGCCGCACAGAAAAAGCAAGAAAAGAAGGAGGAATAAAAAAGCAGCTTTCAGCTCCTCCCTGCCTGCCAAAACGTTTGCACAAGCTGGGCGTCACCTTATCCAGAAGTGTCCTCTGGGAGCGGTACCACATGGGATAATGCAAGGGCTGGGATGCTGCGGCGCCGAGCCTGGAGCATCCCGGGAGCAGCCTTGGTGTTGGGGCAGGAGCTCACTGCAGAGGATGCACTCAGCAGCACAAACAATGAATGTTCTCTGGGTCCAGCTGCCACAGGGGATTTTTCTCTGGTGGAAATGCTGCTGTGTCCCCACAGATGCTTTTTCTCCAATAGTCAAACAGTGTTTGCTCTCCAGCTCGAAATGCAGACCCCAAGCATTACCTTCAGGCCCAGCCAAGGTGCCTTCAGGTGGCTGTGTCCCCCGTGTGTTTGGTACCTGTTCACCCCACACCCTCACCTGCTCTGGGATACAGGGGGAAGGACATCAGTACCTGGACAGCAATGGCCCCCTCCTGCAGCACAGGGCAGGCATCGTGGAGGACACTGGCTCTTGCATTGATGGGGCTTGAGTTCTGGCCTCTGCCAGCCCTGGTTTTTACCTTCCACTTGATTTCATCACTCATTCACCTCTTCTGATCTCCCCTACTCCAGATCCTGCAGCTGAGATGTATAGGAAGGGCTTTGGAGGTGGCCAGACCTTACTGGGGGATGGTGGGAGGTGTCTGCTGCCCCTGCTGCACTTTGCATTCACAGACAGAGTTAGCAGCTCAGAAGCAAAAATAAGTCAACTTCCATGCCTGGAGAGGACTTCTGCTAAAGGAGGTTGATGCTGCAGTTGGACCTCAGAGGTTTGTCTTCTCCTCTCTGGTGGGACATGGATGGAGAAGGCAGTGGGGAGGGCTGTCTTGAGGTGCTGTGACCTCGTCCAGATGAGGCTGGGCAGGAACTAAGGGCAGGGGCTGGTTCCTTTTGGCACCTGGAAGATAAATGGTGGTGTAAGTGGTGGGATTTCAGCGGCTGGAGCAGAGGAGCTGGCAGGAGGCTGTTGGTTTAAATCTGCTTGGCTCCATCTCACCACTGAACCATTCAAATTAAAAAAAAAAATTTAAAAAAAAAAAAAAGAAGAAGAAAAAACCCACCCTCTTACTTTATTTACATTGCACTCAAGTTTCCGCTGTACAAAAGATTTGCAGGTGCAAATATGTCCTGCCTTCATTAACTTCCCCTCCCTTTTTAATTTATGTGATTTCAATTTTCCTTCCCTGTACTGTTAATTAGGGGACCCTCTAATCAGTACCATTATCACAGTGGTATTCATGTTTAGGAAAGCTGCTAAACAAATGCTTGCAAAATTGCTAAATGGCTAATTAATGTCTGTTAATTAAGAAAATTGCTCATGGTAACAAACCATGCCATTGCTGGCAGCAGCTAGAAGGCGAACACTTGTTGAAATTAGTAACGAGGCAGGTAGAGAACATCTGCTCCGGCGCCGGTCCTGGAGCTGCCGTCGCTTCCCATCACCTACTGACAGAGCTCCTCTGCTTTCTCTACCAATTACACTTCCTTGGACTCAAAAAATGCCTTTTTTTTTCTTTTTTTTTTCCTTTTTTTTTTTAACCCTTTTTCCTCACGTTAACACGCACCGGTATATTTCTTGCACCGAGCTCGCGGTTTTTCCAAGCAAATTTTCATTTTGTGCTTTTAAGGGAAATTTAAAAAAAAAAAAAAAATTAAAGTGGGCGTTCAAGCCCAAAATGTCAGCGACTGCTGCATTGCAGTCTTAAACCTGCACCGACTAATCTCTCCTTTTTTCCCCTAGACATCCTTTCTTTGCTCGTAAGCCATTTCACTGGCATCCTTAGGGAATGCACCTCGAGGAGGGATGTTGCATCCCTTCAGTGTGGCGGTGCAGCCCCAGCTGTGCCACCCAAACACTGCCCAGGTGTGAGCTGGGATGTGCTCCTCATCCTCTCTGCTCACTCCAGCACCTCCAGTGAACCACGGTCAAAACACAAACCCGGAGGTGTTTCCAGCCTTTGGGATGAGAGAGGAAAAAATAATTTTTATTTTTAAATTTTTTTTAGGGTTTTTTTTCCTTTTTTTTTTTTTTTTTTTTTTTTGGTTTGGGGATAGTTTTTCTATTTCCCCCCTGGTCCTCTCTGGTCCTCTCCTGCATATTTTTTTCCCCTCATTGCACGCCCCTGAAAAGTGTTTCCCTGTGTGTTTATCATTGCAGACTTGGTTGAACCACTGGACCATTTACTCTCAATGTGGCCACTGTATTTTGACAGATGTTCTGATTTTGAATATATATTTTTTTTTGCATATGTCATTACTCATTGTTCAGCTGCAAATGAACAGAAACTCAATTAAAAAAAAAAATAAAAGGATAAAAAATTTATTTAAAACCGGGAGAACTGACTCCCTGACTGAACAGGTCCACCCGTGAATCCTTTTTTTAGCTCTTTCTGCGCTTTCATGTGCTAATCTATAACCTCCTTCTACTGTCTGACCTCACAGGGACCGCCTGGGTCACAGCCCTCGCCACACGCACAGCCTCCACCCCACAATCCTAACAGCATGATGGGACCCCACAGTCAGGTAAAGACACTAGTGATGGGTAGGGCTGTGAACCGGGACGTGCGCTCGATTTACTCCTTTTTTCCCCCTCTGTAAGCATGCTGGGCAGCGGGTACCCGCTCCCCGGGGAGCATCCCCCCGGGCACCCCAGCTCCAAAGCAAAATGTTGGTTTTTTTCCCTTTTTTTTGTCCTTTTTTTTTTTTTTCTTTCTCTCTTTTTTTCTTTTTTTTTTTTTTTTTGGTGGTTTTTGGATATGCAGTTGTCAATGGACTGAGAAGTCAATCGTGGGTATCAGACTGTTTTACCTTCCCAAGGTAGCCTGAGAAATTTAACTTGATGTGGATTTTTAAGCTTCTGTTAGTAGCAGCAGTTGTAAAAAGAAGTAACGTTAAGCCTTTCTTCTTTTTTTTTTTTCTTCAGTACTTAGCACTGGGTTTTTTTGTGTGTGCGTGTCTGTATGTGCTTAATTGCCACTTTTTTTTTAATATATCTCTATATATTTAAACTTGAACATTATCTAACACTCAGGGTTTCCCATGCACTAATTTTAACAGCCTCATCTAGTATTGCCAATGTCAAACACGCTCTCAAACAATAAACCTACAGAGAAAAATGTCTAAAAAACGGACTCCAGACACCTTTCTCTTTTTTTTTTTCCCTTTTGAAACATCACTTTTTTAAAAAGGATGTCTCCATTAAAAAACAAAAATAATTAAAAAATAAAATAAAAAAACCAAAAGCAGTGTGTACAGGCTAACCAGAGTGCGTGGGGAGCGTGCTGCCTCCCCAGGGCTCAGCCCTGACCCCCTTTTGTGTCCCCACAGCCGTTCATGTCGCCGCGCTACGCCGGAGGTCCCCGGCCCCCCATCAGGATGGGCAACCAGGTACTGTACTCCCAGGATTCTGGATTTCCCAGGGGTAGCTGTTATTTGGGAAGGGGGATGAGGGCCAGGTGTCCTGCAGACGCTCCTTGGGTTTGGGTGGCAAGCATCACCTCCTTGGTCACCCTCCTTTTTCTTAGTGCCGGATCATCAGGTGTCACTTAACAATGATGGTTTAATTTTATTTTGAGGTTTGGGCCTATCCAGGGGGAATGTGCTGCTTTCCAGCCATGGTGTTCCCAGCAGGGCTGTGCCATGCTGCATGCTCGCTGCCCAGCTGGATTTTCCCTGCAATCGCAGAAAATTAAAGTGATGGAGATAATCCTGCTGCTGGGCTGACCGAGTGTTTAGATCAGCGGCGGGGTCACGCAGGGCAGGTCACTGCTGAATTTTTTGGGTTGGGTTTATCCTCTTATCCCAGCTTATACAAGGGCAGCTTGTTTCTGGACTTGTGGATGGAGGCTTCCACCCTATGCCCTGCCTGGGTGCATGCGTGTCCTTTGGTTAAGGAATTCCTCTCCTTGCCAATGATGCCATGCAGATCCATAGAGTAATGACCAAATTTGTCACTAAAGGGAAATTAAAGGAAACCTGTAATTCCTTTGAGCAGCAAAGGTGTCTGTTCAAAAATTAGCCTGGGAGCTTGTTTTTTTTTTTTGGCTATCAGCATGATTCTTCTGTAGGTCTAATTAGCAGAAAGAGCAGGACAGTCAGGAAGTAGGATGTACCAGCTTGCTCTGGGTTTGTGCTTGCCGGAGTTGAGACTTGAATCTTTAGAATTTGCTAACTTATGCTGAGATGTAGCTGAGAAAAACCCAGAAGGGACTAATGGAGGACCCCCATGGCTGGAAGAACCTTCCACCCAGGGCAGTGATGGATGATCTAACGAGGTATTAATTCACTGCACCTCCTCATGGGTCAGTTTTAACAGGACCCCATCCTGCAGTGGTTCTTGGCTCATCCCAGGCTCTGCTGCAGGTGAGCACAGTGAACTGGGCAGGCAGGAGAGGCAGGGGGGACTGGTTTGAGGGGGCTGTTCCCACAGCAGGATCAAGCATCCACGAGTGGGTAAAGTTAATTAAAAAGATTTAATTTTTTTCTCCCAAACACCACATAAAAAACCACATGTTTGTACCTAGGCAGAGCTCAGTGAGGTTATGGTCACATCCTGAGGGACAAGAGGAATAAATAGGCAGGCAGGAAGGTCAGGCAGCAGAAGTGTAAATATCCACCTCTGCAACCCTCCTGGTTTATCTTCCTCCTGCTGCCAGCTTCCAGCCTGCAAAAAACTTGGGATTGGGCTGATTGTGCCTCGGCACAGCCGTGTGCACCCAGGGCCTGTGCTGTGCTCCAGCACGGGGATCCTCAATGTTGGCATCCAGCATAGCAAAGCTGTTTACAGCTTGCTTCCCTCAGGCAGACAATATCTGCATTTTTCTTCCCCTTTATCTGTTTGGAGTAGCCTTTGAAGCTTAAATAGCAGCATTGCCTGAGTAGAATGTGAGTTTGGGGAGGGGGCCTTGCTCTGCTGCGCATGGAGCATCTCCCTGCCACAGCCAGTGAATCACTGCCTGGTTTGGCCCTGGTGCTGTGTGTCACCAGGGTGCCATGCTGTTGGTCACCTTTCCCTGCTGGATTTGACACCTCTGTCCTGCTCAGCTTGGGTTTTCCCCTGCTTTCCTAAATACAGCAGCATTTGGCATGAGGGGAGGGGGAAACGCCTTGTTTAAGGTTTAGAGAGGGTTTGCAGAAGGATGAGGGAGGCAAAGACCTGGAGGCTGTAGCAGTGGGATGCAGGAGGATGCAGTGGGATGTGGAATGCAGCAGGATGCAGGAACTATTTTTTTAACCTTGCTCCCTTGCTTTCACAGCCCCCGGGTGCTGTTCCCGGTACACAGCCATTGCTGCCCAATTCGATGGATCCCACGCGACAGCAAGGTAAACCCAGCAGAGCAGGGTGAAGCGCCGATGCTCTTAATTAGCTGTTAATTGAGGACCCAGAGTGGCTGTGGTGCCTTGTAACACTCCTGCTTTCCTCCCACCAGGGCACCCCAACATGGGCGGCCCCATGCAAAGGATGAATCCTCCGCGAGGGATGGGCCCCATGGGTCCCGGTCCGCAGGTAAGCCCGGAGCCAGAGCGCATCCCACAAACCATGGGAACAACCTCCTGGGGCTCGGAGTTCCCCCCCACACCCTGTCCCCCCATTAGTGTTAATGTGTTTTACATTAGTCTTGCATCTGGAAATCCCTCCTTTTAACAGGAGTGAGGTCTTCAGAGCTCATTAAGGGTATTAGAGCCTCCCTCCTGCCCTTCTGTCAGAGGGGATGGCACTTAGCTCTGAGCTGGAGCAGCCTTTGAGTGCATTACACTGCCTGCCTGGGAAACAGTTACAACCCTAACTGCAGGAAAGGGGAGGGAGGCTTGCATTTGAAATTAATAAATAAAAATAAATGGCAAAGATCCCTTTAGCAAAGGGAATAAGGCTTTCCCCTGCGAGGTTCCCCTCCACCTGCCCTTCCTGCTGCCTGCTTGAGCTCCGTATTTCAGGAAAGGGGAGTAAACTTGAAATTAAGCAGATCTGGGTTAATATATGCTGTCATTCCGTTGATTCACTTCATGGAGTGGCTTGTTGTTGACTCACTCCTGTTTGTTCCTTCTACGAGACTTCAAAACCAGATTACCATATTTTGGTTGGAGGTTTATCCTCTCTGCATCGTCGCCTACGTGGAGTTTGTAGCGCGAGGATCAGAGTCTGTCAGGAGAGGAGCGGGCGCGCTGGAGTTTTGCTTTGTTTTTCCCCTGGAGACTGTTGAGATAAGTGAATGTTGTGTAAAGAGGGAGTTGTGTCATGTCTTTAGCACCAACCTGAGGATGCTGCTCAGAGGTGCTCAGCCACGTCCACGGGCACCTGAATCCATCCTCGGGCAGGGCACAAAAAACCTGTGCGAGCATCGTTTCACAGGCAAGCCCTCCCATAGCGCTGCTTCGGTGCTTGAAATCCTCCTTTCCTGGAGGATTACACCCAAAAGGAAAAAAAAAAAACAAAGGCATTTGCAAGCGTGGCCTGCGCCAAGGCGAGCGGCGGCGGCTTGCCCGGGGGAGGCTGCTTCCCACTTGCAGAGCTCGCCGCGAAACTTGGAAGCGCGGAGCGCGCGCTGAGCGCCGCGTGGGATGGCGGCGGCTCCGGGAGCCGGCAGGAGTTGTGAAATGTTCAGAGCTTTATTTTTGACTCCACCGTTCCCTGTGTATGTACATTAGGGAGAGGCTTTTTGAGAGGCAGCCTTTCCCTGGAGAAGCGCTGGGCTTCCCAATCTGGCACCCGCAGGCGCTGCCTGCCTGCAGCCATCCAGGAATGGGCACCTGCGCGGGCAGCCACCAAAAATACCGACCCAGACCCCGCAGCCCCTCGCACCTTGTGTGCCCTGGGCTTGTTTTCCTTTAAGCTTTGCATTGGGACCTTCCTAAATCCTTCTCAGACGATTCCAAAGGGCTTCAGAACATCCAGCCAGGACATCCTGGAGTCCTGACAGCAGCTCCTTATTACACAGCAGTGATGAATCATCCCTTTCAGCTGATTGCCGCTGCCTTTTTCCCTTTAGAAATCCCATTTGTAGCTCTGCAGAAGCCAGGACAGGGATTGCCAGCACCAATATGAAGAGGGTTTGTAGCTCTCTGGGTTTTGGTGGTGCCTTGCCCAGGTCTCTCGGCACAGCTGCGTTCCCTCCTCCTGAGCATCTTTCAGCTGGCTTCGTTTTCCAGCCTTTCAGCTCCAATTGAAAACGCTGAGCCCTTTTTTTTTTTTTTTTTTTTTTTTAAACAAGGGGCTTGATGCTGCTATTCAGTGTAAATGGCTGAAATTTCTATCAATTAGGGACTTGCTGGTAATTTGTTTGGGGAAAACCCTTTTTTGCCTCTTCAAAACAAACTTTGGTGATGCCCTCAGCAGTGCACCGTGCACTGGTAAACCCAGATAAAAATTGACAACACTAAAGTATTGTACTTAAAATCAAGTTTGAGGCACTCCAAGGGGCTGTGGTGTTGGAAGTGGCCAGCCATCCCTCCTCCTGCTGTAGCAGTTTTTTCTTTAAATGGCAGAAACACAGTCCAAAAAGATGCATTACAGAAGAGAAGGGAGGTGGGAGGGGAAGAGTGGCAAGGCGACCTAAATCTGGCTGCAGTCGCCTGGAGGGCACACGGAGCACAGCACAGACCAAATGGAGCGCAGCATTCGGGGGGATTCCTCTTCCTCCACTGCCTTGGGCTTGGCTTTGTACTGGAGCTGGTTTTAGGAGATGAGGGATGCAGATCCGAGGCTCCCAGTCCCAGCTGGAGGCTAAGCCAGGGAGGAATAAGGCAGGAGAGGGGGCCCAGGGGGCTGCCTGCCCTGGCCTGCTCCAGGGGATGGAGCAGAGAGCTGGGGAGCAACAGAAAAACAGCAGGCCTGGCTTGGTGTTCCCTACTCCAGCAGTCATCCAGGGAGCAAGGAGTGCTCCATCTCGGGGGGAGCTCATGCAGCCCTTCCTCATCCTTGCACTGCAGCAGGAACCTTCTGAGTGGTGCCTTTTCTCCTCCTCCTGCGCCTGTTTTCTCCTGCACAAAGGGAAAAATCCAAAAGGCTGGCGCTGGGGGCTGTGCATAGAGCTGGGAGGGGGATGTTTTCCCTCCACAGAGAGCAGGGAGGGGGAACTTTGGGGCTCAGCCTGGCTCCCATCCATATTCAGCTGCCTGGGGTTTTTTTATAAACACAATTGCCTCTTATGTTCATCGTCATTAATTTTTTTTTTTAAAGCTCATTTTTGCACACAGACCCGCTTGTTTTTTTTTTTTGTTTGTTTATTGGCTTTTTTCCCCCTTTCTCTTGTCTCTCTGGTGTCCTGCCCGTTACAGTAGACTGACCCTTGGTTATCGTTGCAGAACTACGGCAGCGGCATGAGACCTCCACCCAACTCCCTAGGTCCTGGCATGCCTGGAATTAACATGTAAGGCAATCCCCACTCTGGGAGGTTTCACCAGGGGCTCGGGAGTGTCTGCAGAAGAGCACAAGGTTTATTTTCTCCCCTGTTTAATTTTGTCCCCAGGGGGCCGGGCGCCGGCAGACCGTGGCCGAACCCCAGCAGTGCTAACTCAGTGAGTACCTTGGGCTGGTTGGGAAATGTCCTGCAAATGGGATCATTCCCCATTAGCTGAGCCCTGCTAATGAGAGGAGAGGTTCCCCAGCCTCTTGCTTAGTCTGCTGGGACTCCCATCCTGGCCAGGCTGTGCCCTGATGGGATCCAGCCCATGGCTGAACTGTCCCTCTTGTCCCTACAGATCCCATACTCTTCTTCATCGCCTGGTACATACGTGGTGAGTCCTCCTGTCTGTCCTGTTGTCAGGAGTTCATGTGGTTTGGGGGGAGTCAGTGCCATGGGAGGTGGCACTGGGCTGGGTTTGGGGTTGGGAGTTGGGGCAGGTGTTTGAAGACATGGAAAGGTGGGCAGTGCTCATATTTGCACATCTGACCCCAGCTGTGTTTCCACAGGGTCCCCCCGGCGGCGGTGGCCCTCCAGGGACACCCATCATGCCCAGCCCTGCAGGTACGAGCCCTCTGAGACCCCTCTCTGTCCAGGGCCATCCCTGCCCTGTTGGTAATGACCAATTTTTGTGGCTTTTGGCTTTCTGGGAAGTGAGTAGCATGGCCTTCTTGACTTTGGGATTCCATTTGGGGATGTTCCTACATTCCCATGTGGATTTGGATGCCTGGGGGGCTCAGGAAGGTGAAGAATTACCACCCTACCCTTCCCAGCCAGGAGTTGAATTCTTTTTCACAGTTGAATTTCTGTGATTAAAAACTTTGTGGATCTTCATTAAATACAAATTAACCAGAAAATGGTGGTAGTTAGAGGGAATTTTGGGTGATAAAATACAAAAGAATGAGTTCAAGTGGCATGAGTTTGTTTTAATTAAGAAATGAATTAATCACCCGACTTACTGGGCTTCACTGTTCCACAGATTCAACAAATTCAAGTGACAACATCTACACAATGATTAATCCAGTACCGCCCGCAGGCAGTCGATCGAATGTAAGTCTGCTTTCTAATAATTTACATATCAGATACCATAACAAATCATAATTAACTTCATCAGTTGAGAGTAAAGCAGTTTAATTGATTTCAGCCATTTGTTACAAAACAGAAATAAAACAAACCATCAAAAAGCGATTAACTCTTGGGCGACTTTGTTAATTTTTTATGCTTATTAAGAGAGCAGCAGTCCTGCTGCTCCGGCCAAGGTGCTGGGTTTTGTGGGATGTGAGCAACCTTAAATCCTGTGGAATTCTGGTTGGAATGCTGTGCTGCAGCTCTGGGTCCAAATTTTATAGGTGAACCCAGGGGACCGTGAGCCCCACAGCCTGGGAGGGCGATAAAGCCCCGTGTTGTGCCAGGGAATGTTCAGATTGGATATTAGAAGCTTTTTGTCATTGAAGGGGTTGCCAAGCATTGGAATGTGCTGCCCAGGGCAGTGGTGGAGTCACCATCCCTGGAAATGTGTGGCTCTGGCACTTCAGGGTGTGGTTTAGTGGGTGCTGAGTTGATTGTTGGACTTGGTGATCTTGAAGGACTTTTGCAGCCTCAGCAATTCAGTGATTCTGCAGTACCTCCCTCCTTGCCCTGCTGCAGAGGGATGGCTGGGGCAGGGACAGTCCCCAGGAGCCACCGTGGCAGCTGCTTGGGGTCGTTCTGTGTCTGATTTTGGGTTTGTCCCCTTTTCCTTGCGCAGTTCCCAATGGGCCCCGGCTCTGACGGCCCCATGGGCGGCATGGGCGGGATGGAGCCCCATCACATGAACGGATCATTAGGTGAGCCTCGGTGTCCTCCCTCCCCTGGGGACACTGGCAGAGCATCCCAGGGCCTGTTCCCATCCTGGGCTCAGCCCCCAGCTGGCACCAGTGCTCCCAGCAGAGCCTTTGGGGGGAAGGCAGCGGGGCTGTGGGGGCACAGGGCTGTGGCTGCAGGCCCAGTAAGGCTCTTCTCCTTTCTCTCCCCTCTCTGCAGGGTCAGGAGACATAGATGGACTTCCAAAAGTAAGTGGGGTTGGTTGCAGGGCGGGTGTGTGGGCTCTGCCCTTCCCTCAGCACTGGGGTGCTGCAGTGACCCTGATGGATGGGGACACAGGCAATGTGACCACAGCATTGTCCTGCCCCTGTGGCATTTTGGGGGGCTCTGGGGTCCTGCTCACCACCTCCTCTCCTTGTCCCACAGAATTCTCCAAACAACATAAGTGGCATTAGCAATCCCCCGGGCACTCCAAGAGACGACGGGGAGCTGGGAGGCAACTTTCTCCATTCCTTCCAAAATGACAATGTGAGTGAGTGAGTGCCTGCCTGGGGATGGGGGGACAGTCCCCAAGGTGTCCCAGCACTGGGATGGGTGGGCTTGGCACAGTGGGGGCCTTTTGGGCTTGGGTTGTGCCGTGTGGGAGCTGCTGCAGGACAGAAGGGTGGGCAGGGGGAGATGAGGCAGTGGGGGGAATTTTGGGGTCTGTGGTGGGATGGGTGCACAGGTGGAGAGGAGCTGCTGCAGAGGTGGCTGTGCTGGCCTGGCCCATTGGAGGCTCCGTGGGTGGCTGCAGACAGGCCTCCTGTTCTCCCTCTATTAGCAGCATATACACATGTGCATGTTAATTATTTGTTTCAAATTGCATCTCGCCCCATACTGTTCTGCTGATTTTCTTCCCGGAAAAGCAAGTTACAGCTCAGATTAGGGCCCTGATAAATTGGAGTCTCCAGCATATCCTCTCTTCCTGGTTTATTAGATCCAATTAGGTTGCTGTGTAGTTGCCACCAGCCTCCTTTTGCATCCCTCCCTTGGCTGTCCGGGGCTGTGACCCGCCTGTTTCTCACCGTGGCTCTGTCTCTCTTGCAGTATTCCCCCAGCATGACGATGAGTGTGTGATTTCCCTCCCCCTCCTCCTCTCCAGGATCAAGAGAGTCAGCTGCCGTTCGGAGGATCTCAACGAATTATGCAAGAAGAAGAAGAAGAAGAAGCTAGGTGTATGGGCAGGGACACGCGTGGCGGGGGCCAAAACCCCAGGTTTAGTTTCATGCAATAAAAAGGCTGAACTTTTTATTCCATAAAACATGAAGGACAAAACTTAAAATATTTCAAGACATGACAAGACCCTTCTTTGTGCAGAAGGGTTTATATATGTACATGACACTTCTTTTTGGAAACAAACGGAAGCCTCTAGCACCCAACTCCGATCTCTTTGCTTTGTTCTTTTAAATAAAGACAGAAACCGAACCTGTTGTATGTTTGTGCCGTGCGACACCAGGAAGCTAGTCTAGATATGAAATCATGTTGTCTCTGTTGTAGTCATTTTTTTAAATAAACTGGACAGTTTACAATGGTGGTTTTCGTTCAGAAGGCCTGTTTTTGTTTTTTTTTTTTCTTTTTTTTTTCCTTTTGGTTTTGGGGGTTTTTTTCCCGTGTATTTTTTGGGGTTATTTTTTTTTTGGTTCGTTTGCAGCACAACGCTTCCTCCTCCAGTTAACAAGATCTGCTTTGGGGAAGAGACTCCAGCACCTCGTTATAAACTTGTTAATATAACAGGTGACCCCTTCCAGGATCACATCCTCCAATGAATCGTGATCTTGCTCTCTGTGACTGTGGCATGCACTGTGTTAGTCTTTCCCCCTCCTCTGAGTACAAGAAGAAATCTCTTGTCCCTCCCTTCCCCAGAATCCTTCAGCTGGTTCACTGCAAAAATAGATTTTTTTTTAAATAACTTTTTTTTTTTTAAATTCACCAGAAAAAAAAAAAAGAAAAAAAAAAGAGTTAATCTGACCTGGGACTTTGAAACTGTGATCTCCAGCTAACTTTGGGATTTTCTGGGGGTTTTATTTGTTTTGGGGGTATTTTGCGGGGGGATTTCTTTTCTTTAGAGATGTGCTCTTGTCAGGATTTCACTTATCTATGATTTGGAACTGGATGGAGATATTTTTTAAGGAATTCTTGTTGTTAAAATGTAACCTTGCTATTCTGTAGGCTCGCTCTGTAATAAGAAAATAAAAATTAATGGCAAGCATCGAAGGCCCTTCCTTCTGGTGGGAGAGGAAGGGACGAGCCAAGGCGGCGGGTTGGGATCTCTGTACATGACACTACCCTGTAGTTTGGTCTTGGTTTTTTCTCCAGCTCCCATTTCTGCTCCATGTATATCATATTCTGTAAAATATTCTCTCCCTTGGATTTGACCTTTGTGCGGATTATTGAAAGCATTGTATCTTGTTTCAGTGTTTTTTCTTACCTTGTAGTCTGGTTCGAAAATTACCGAGAGGGGAAAAAAAAAAATATTATACATTGATACATTGTAGTTTGTGTACGATATTTGTTGATAATGTTTTATTAAAGGGATGTCTTTTTTCCGCACCCCTTCATTGAAATGTTTTTGGGGGACATTTGGCTTGTTTTTATTATTCTGATTGCAAGACATGAGATGACAAACCAACTTTTTTTTAGTGTGTAATACGAATAATATTTTTTTTAAATGTTTGCCTTCTTTTTCCTAGGCATTTTCATTCTGCTTTACCTGTAGAAAGTCAGGAGGGAGGGAGGGGCGGGTGGGATGGGGGGTCTGAGGGTGTCAGTCTCATAGTTACAGTCAGGTTAATATTTTCCAATTAATGCAGATTTGTTGCATTGCGTACCCAGGGGCTCCCCAAGGGGTCAAATTTTTACCTTTTCCACTTTACATCTTGTTCAGGCGTGGGGGGTTTTTTCCTATTTTCTTTTTTTTAATTTTAATTTTTCTGTTCTGATGTGAGGAAATGAAAGGACCGGTTTTAATGTATTTTAAAATGAATAGCTAAATTATTGTCTTCATTGGTATGGGATGGTTTTTTGAATGAAACGGTTCCCCCTCCTTCTCCCCCCTCCCCCTGCTGTAATAAATATCAACATAAACATTTGATTTCGGTGCCCTGCAGTTTGTTCCTGGTGTTTGCTGCCACACCCAGGGTGGGAGTTGGGTATTTTTTTCCAACCTTTATCAAGGGCCAAACCCCAGATTTGGGGTGCAGGAGCAGAGGTGATGCAGAGCTGAGGTGGCATTTTAGGAGGGCTGGCTGAGCTTGGGAATTCAAAATCCCAAAGGGATTCAGGACTATTCAGGATGCAGTTCAGGACCTGGGTGAGGTTTAGTGATGCCTCTTTGTTTCTTGGATTTTTTGGGGTTTTTTAAGCATTTTGAAAATTTAGCCTAGAAACCGTCAGTGTTGTCTGCACCGTGCTGAGGATGTTCTGGCTGGATGCTTGCCCTCCCCACACCCAGCCCACCAGGCTGCAGAAAGAAAGGGGTTTTTTAGGGGCTAAAAAGGAGATTTTTGGCACACTGCTCCCCAGGCTTTGCTCGTAGAGGCCAGGGAAGTTGGGATGCCAGTGTGGTGATGGAGGCTGCCCTGCCCTGCAGCAGCTCCCTGGGCCAGGAGCTGGGTGCTGCCTCTTCCCTTTGCCAGAGCCCTGCACTGCTGGGAGGTAAGAAAGGAGGGGAATACACGAGTGCTGTTCTCAAATACATTAATAATAATAATAATAATAATATATAAATACTGAGCTTGCAGTGGGGTCAGTGCCCCTCCTTGGGCAAGAGCTGTGGTGCTGGGTGAGTGCACAGACCCAGGAACAAACAACTCCAGGAGCTACTGGGAATGGAGAAACCCAGGCAACACAACCTGGTTCCCCAATGGGCAGCATCAGAGGCTGGGGGAAAGATTTGGGAAGTTTTAGGCCTGTGGTCCAGGCAATCGCATCCCCCCGTGCTTTGCAGAAAGCAGAGTGTGAGCATTGTCCATCACTTGGTTTCATGACCCCTGAGGGGTTGAGGCTGATGAGGAAATCCTGCCCTCCCAGACCCCCGGGGCCATCCCTGCCTACCCAGGCCCTGCTTGGCTGCCCAGAGCAGCAGGCTCCTGCACTGCTGCCCATTGTGTTTTTATTGTGGGGCATAGAAAAGTCCTTCCTGATGGTTCTTAAGGGTTACAGGCTGGTATTATTAAACATCACCATGAAACTGCCAAGTTCCCTCCTCGAAACGTCTCCTGAGCCCAGCCTCAGGGATAATTGTCTCCCCCATTAGTTTTCATTAAATTAAATGCAGGAGGAGGATCAGAACGACCAGGGGCTCCAGGCTGAGCACGGTGTGTACTTGTTGGCACGATGTGTGCAGCCTGTGGAGCTGGATTCTGCAGTGGGAGCGGTTCAGGGCAAGGGAGTGTGGAGTGGTGGAGAGCTCTCCTGTGGGCAGCCAGGCTCCTCTGGGTCCTGCAGAGCTCTCCTGTGGGCAGCCAGGCTCCTCTGCCTCCTCATCCCGGGCTCCTGCCACCCCATTCTTGCATGTTCTGCTTCCCTGGCTGCCGTTCATGAAAAGTTAATGCCTGGCCCTGGTCCGTGCTGAGGTAACGCCACTCGTCTGCTGAGAGCCTTTATAAGTTATTGATGCCAACCCAGATGTGCTCCTGTGACCCATTGTTGGGCTCCCCAGCCCACCTCCCTCAGCTGGGCCCATTCCAGCAGGCCATGCTGGAGGAACTGGGGGAGCTGAGCCGGGCACAGAGTGCTTGGGAAGTGCAGCAGAACACCAGGGACAGGTGGTAGGGGCTGCCTGGTTCAAGGACCACGAGGGGCCAACCTGAGCATCCGTGCCAAGCTGGGAGCTTCATTCTCCCCTCCAGGCCCTCAGCATTCCCTGCACAAGGATCAGCCCCCAGAGGAGCATTCCCTGCACAAGGATCAGTCCCCAGAGGAGCATTCCCTGCCCAAGGATCAGCCCCCAGAGGAGCATTCCCTGCACAAGGATCAGCCCTCAGAGGAGCATTCCGTGCACAAGGATCACCCCTCAGAGGAGCGTTCCCTGCACAAGGATCAGCTGCTCCTTCCAGCACCACTCCAGTACCACTTCCCCTGGCCTCAGAGGAGAGTGGCTCTGCCTCAGCACAGCAGGGACATGGCCTCACACCCCTGTGTATGATCCCCTCACCTCCAGTGGTTTCCTGATGCCTCACACAACCCCCAAAGCCTTGTTTTCCTGCTGACCGTCCCATGTCTCGCTGCTTCCGCTATTTTTCAAAACTGCCTTTGCTTTGCCTTCGTCCATCCCTCCCTGTGCTTGTGCTTTGTCTCAGCTCAGCTTGGACACAGCAGGGTTCCAGCTTCCCTCAGTCTCTCCCCTTCAACTGCCTGACAGAGATGTCTTTGTTGAGATGTAAAAGCAGCTGAAGGGACTCTGCCTCTTCCAGACAGACCATCCTCACAAATTCCCACATCCACCAGAAGCACATGAGGTGTTTCACCTCCACACAACCCCTCTCCACCACAGCTGCTCTTCCAGCAGGCTTCCTGGGGGAAATTCTCTCCTCAGGAATGCTAAGGGGCAGCTGGCTGCCCTACAGGGCTTCCTCCCTAGGACGGGTAATGACCCGAAGCTGGAAGAGCGAGGGGATGTCAGGCAGGGTCCGTGTGACACAGCAGGGAGGGAGCAGCAGCCCGAGAAAGAAACACCCACTGCGTGTGACAGGCTGCACAGAGCACAGCTCTGTTAGAATGTATTCCCAAACACCTGGCTGCAAACCACAGACCTGAGCAGATTCACTCCGATGGGCTGAATGAGGCATCCCTGGAGCAGGCAGGATTAAGATGATGCAGAGCAATGCAACGCTTATGAGGGTTTTTTCTCTTTCAAGCACTTCTGCTAACTGTGGAGGGATTTGTTAATTTAGCCTGCAGCCACTGCATCCCAATTTACGGGGTGCAATTGTTGACCTCAAATGTGACTGGTGAATGTTCCCAAAACCTGCAGAGTGGAGCTGCCTGATGGACTGGGGCTGGAACACACAACTGGGGTGCTCATCCAGATGGCCAGGGATCACAAAGCACAGACCAGCCTCCGACACGAGGCACTGAAGTGAGATGAATTTCTTGGAAATGTGCTCTTCCACACCTTAAAATAGCGCAGGCTGTCCTCTCCCTTCCCATGTGCTGGAGGGTACCAGAACTGCAAAACATTCTACATTTGGCTGCAGCTAATTTAGCTTTCATTTTACAAAACCCACACTAATCCCCCCATGTTAAAAAGAATATGCTTCCTGCTCAGTTAACTCTGTGTGGCAGGAAGAAATTCTTCCTTTGTATTTTTAGCAGCAAATACCAGCTACAGGCACCAAAGTTTCCCGCTACATTCTACACCACTTTCCCCAAATGCACAGGTCTCTTCATCCAGGATTGGGGGGATAAAAGGACCGTGGTTCTACAGATCCAACAAAGCAATCCCTCCGATTAAGTGCTTTGGGAACTAAGCACAGGGCAGCACGACGCATCCCACGGCAGCCAGGAGTAAAACAAAGTCAAAGCCAGGCAGAATGAAAAAGCCTCGTGGCTCAGGCTTTCCCCTTGAAGCTTTGTAAGTCTCTTCTGCATTCAGAGGGACTCAAAGCAACCTCGGGAATGGGTTTGAGTCTGGCTCTGTGCAGAAGCACACTGAGAGCAGAGCCTGCGCACAGGAATAATGACTGGCTTATGTTCTTCCCAGGCAATGGAGGAAGAGTGCAGGAGGATGCATCTGACGACTTCTCTAACCCACATCCAGAGGGGTGAGCCCCTAAAATGAAAGAGTTTCTTCATGCACTATTTAGTTTAAAAAAAGAAATTTTACTTTCTGTAACAATATAATTTATTTTTTAAAGTAAATTAATCCACCTTTCTTTAATTATACGACGGTTCTGGCAAAGAGAAGCAGCAGGTACAGTTGGTGAAGTATTTTCATTTGAGCTGAATTTCACACAGTTCCATGCAGATACAGTGCCAGAAACTTCTTGAATGTGTCTGGCTGAAAGCCAGAAATTCCAGCGGGCTTCTGCAGAGAGAAAGACACGGATGCTCAGTTTGCAGTGAAGTGATTAATGTAGACAAACAACGGCTTTAAACATGCTTGAATAAGACTTTCAGGCATGGCAGCTTCCAAATTGTGCTCTCCCTCCCCAGAAGGGTTTGGGTGGGGGCACTTCCACTGGTGTCAATCTCAGAGGGCAGAACCTCTTTGCCTGTGAGTGAGATGCCCTCCCAGTATAACCAGTACTGGCAGCCCTGTGCTCTATTTACTCCCCAGAGAGGCTGCTTGTGAGAGTTCCCTTCCTCAGAGCTGGCTTTGAACAAGCCCATTATGGGATGGTGGATTTCAGCTGGGAGTATCTGTATGTAGGAGTTCACGTTAAGCTTGGCATGTCACACATCAGCACCACCAACACTCAGGAACTGGTCTCCTGAGAAACACCTGCTGAGGTAAAAATGAGGCCAATGTCCCCTGAGGGTCCCTCCAGCTAGTTTAAAACCTGCTGCAGCTCTGTGCCAGCCCCAGACCCCCAGCTGTGGTGGAAGGG